GGAAAGCTATTTCTTACAGGAGCTTTCCAGACAATGAATGTAGAGGAAAACAGAAAAAATCATTTAGAAAACTGATTAATGCTAAAATTGGTGGACAGAACTTTAAAGAGAGACAGGATATTTACATTGCTTCAAATTTTTTTTTAAAATATATTTTCTTTTAGTTGTAGATGGACACAATACCTTTATTTATTTTTATGGTGCTAGGGATCAAACCCAGTGCCTCACACATGTGAGGTAAGCACTCAACCACTGAGCCATAACCCCAGCCCCAAAGTGTTTTCCCCTAAACAAATATTATTAAGGTGGTTTTAACATATATCCACAAGTTCTCTTATACTTCTTCCTTTAGAAACTAGAGCTTATTTCTCTTTCCTGAGCTTAGGCTGGATTTAATGGCATGTTTCTAACAAATAGAATATGAAATGGGAAAATTAGAAATTCTGTGGAGAAACCTAGATATCATTTAACCAAGTGATCAACATTGACACCATGAATGATAAATCATGTTACTCTGATAGGCTTCCTGCTCTGATGTGATGAGAGGGACACTTCACTTTAGTATTCTTCTTCCAAATGCAGACCCCTGAAAAATTGTGAGAAAAACCCAAATTGAAGGACAGTTTACAAAATGCCTGACCAATATTTTTCAAAAGTTTTAAGTTCACACACACACACACACACACACACACACACACACACGCACGCACAAAACAAAAACAAAAACAAAGGAGTGTTTGTCAATTTTTCTGTCACTGACAAAATATCTGAGGAAAACAACTTAAAGGATGAAAAATTGATTTTGGCTTATAGTTTCAGTCCCTGACTGCTTGGCCCCAGTGCTATGTATGAGGCTGTGCTGAGGCAGAATATTATGGGGGGGGGGAGCATGTGGCAGAGCTGAGAGCTGGTCCACTTCATGGTGCCTGGAAGGAGAGAGAGCGGGAAAGGGAGAGGGAGGTTGTGGTCCCAATATACTTCCTCCAGTTAGGTCCCACCTCCATCACTTCCCAGTAGCACCACTAGTTGGGGACCAAGCCTTCAACACAGGAGCCTTTTGGAGACATTCCAGACCCAAACTGTAACACAAGGAAAAGACTGTCACAAATTGGAAAAGACTAAGGAGACAAGGTGAATAAATGCAACATAGAATCCTGGATCATAAAAAGAACATTAACGGAACAACTGGTGAAATCCGAATAAAGTCTACAGAAATAGTATTATATTGGTCTTCATTTCATAGTCTTGGTAATTGTGCTGTTGTTACATACAATATTAACTTTAAGGGAAGTTGGATGAGGGGTATATAGGTACTCTACACACTAGAGCTCTTTGTTACTCCTCTTTTCTTTAAAATTAATTGAATAGCTTTAACATAAAAAAGATTTTTAAAATCTGGAGAGTGCTGGGCTTGGTGGCATATGCCTGTAATCCCAGCTATTCAAGATTAAATTTGCCTGGGCAATTAAGCAAGACCCTGTCTCAAAATAAGAATAAATAAGACTGGGGATGCATTTGCCTAATATGTTTGAGGCCCTAAATTCAATTTGTAGGACTTAAAAAAAAAAAGTCTGGAAAGCTTAACATAATGCGGGTATTACATATTCCTGCCCTTGAGTCTCTGACTCAGCAGACTGGAAATAGGACTTAAAATTCCTACTTTTATGTGTGTGTGTTTGTGGTGCTGGGTGTAAGCAAAAATAACTGAAACAGGAGCAGACCTCAATGGATCACCAAGCTTTCTTTATTAAGCATCGGTTGAATGGCACATTTTCAGGGGAGAAATTAGCAATTGGTTGCAAGAGGGGTCTGTTTTTAGGTTTTAATTGGAGTTAATTTTAGCAGAATGTTTATTGTGACTTAATCATTAGAGATTTGGGTAGTCAGGAAGCTAGTTGTGCAGGTTCAAAGTCTAAATCAGGAAAACAGCTGTAAAAGCTTCAACACCCATTGATACTGGGATGAAAGTCCAGATCCTAGAGCCCAAGAGCCCATTGTCCGCATTCTCCACCCAGGATTCATTGTTACTGGGAAAGGATGAAAGTCCAGAGCCCAGAGCCAATTGTTTGCCTTCTTCATCCAGGACCAATCCTTTCTCCCTGAGGGTTGTTATTTTATATCCTTCACTGGGTATTGAACCCATGGCCTCATGAATGTTAACAAATGCTCTACCTATTTACTGATGTTATTCTGATTATCAGTGGAATTTCATTTGAGCTAGAGAAATAAAGACCAGGAAAAAAAAATCTAGTATCTCCCCAACCTATATATGTACAATTACCTATCATCAATTATAAGTTCAGAAAAGGAAAATAACTGGGCACAGTGGCCTGTACCTGCAGCTGCAGCTACTGGGGAAACTGAGGAAGAAAAATTGTGTGTTCAGGGCCAACCCGGACAGCCTAGTGACATCTTGTCTCCAAAAAAAAAAAAAGGCCGGGCTCTCGTTGGCACATTTTGTGATCCCAGTGACTCCGGAGGCTGAGGCAGGAGAATCAGGAGTTCAAAGCCTGCCTCAGCAATGGTGAGGCACTAAGCTACTCAGTGAGATTCTGTCTCTAATTAAAATACAAAATAGGGCTGGGATGTGATTCAGTGGTCAAGTGCCCCTGAATTCAATCCCCAGTACGAAAAAAAAAAAGGAAAATAGACACATTTAACCTGATCTAAGCATTACATATTCTACACTTGTATTGCAACATCATATGGTACCCCATAAATACATAGTTATTATGTTCTATGTTTTTATGTATCAATTAAAAATATATTTAAATAAAAGAAGAAAATCTGACCCTTAATTTGAGGGCATGGAACAGCACAGTAGTGGCACCAAATACCTCTTCCTGTGCACTGGTTCATTATGGTTCATCATGTTTTTGGAATTAGTGGTTAGTATGTAATGTTATGCCGGACGCTTACTTTTTTTGTTTTAATATTTGTTTCTTAGCTGTAGCTGGATACAGTATCTTTATTTTATTTATTTA